AGCTAAACGTGTTTATTTTTGATATCTTGGCTCCGTGGTTTCACTAACATAGATTTAATGCCAGTATTCCCATTTTCCTTTTCTCTTCCTCTAAGTAAACCTATTTTATGAATGACAGTTCTACAGTCCTTTTAAAACTTTGACCAAATGTTTATAACTTTTTATGCGTTTCAGTATTAGTGAGTTATGCACGTGTTTGCTATGCCGTAAACTTTAGGTTATGCATACTATGGAGAATGCAGACAAGGGAATTAGGACAAAGGAATTACTTTTGTGCCTTGCTTCAGGTAATGGAGCCTTATTAGTTATTGTAGATTGATGTCACCAACTTATTTTTCTCTACCCACTTGGAAAGTAAATGATATATGTTTTTTCTATATACACAGAGTCCGTTGGATTTCAAGCTCTCTACACAAAAGGTTATGATTTAATTTTGTTATATGAGATCATCTTTAGACATTCTGTAGGCCTCAAGTCAGGATCACCAAGACAGTTATTTGAGTTTGTTAAGTACTTGTTGGTTGTGTTTCCTTTATAAAACTGATCCAGTTGATTTCTAAATTCTTTTACTGCCATTTTCCAAAAAAAAAAAAAAAAGTTAACAAAGTAATAACTGCATGCCAAGACAGGATGTGAAGTGGAAACAATGTAATTATCCAGACAAAGCTAAAGTTATCTGGTGAGATTTTTTTACCTTGATTACATCAGTTGGATCAATTGGATATTTTTGTAGTCATTATTCGGTGTGGACCCCAGCTGAGTGCCATTAATACAAGTGGCAGGAGGAACTCGTACCATTTTATGTTTGAAATGAACTGTTTTTTACTACATAGTCATCAGATACATCTTGGTAAAATGTGGTTAGAACTGTTATGTCAGCTTTCTCACTTACTTCAAAAAAGTGTGATATGTTCTCCATCTGTTACATGATCCAAAGCTAAATAGCTACACTTAGGATGTGTTCTTACTTAGGCCAGTGCTTTTATGAAGGTGTGCCATAAAAGCATCCAGGTGCCAGCAACCTGTCCACCTGGTTCCCATTAAATCTGCCTGGAAGCGATGACTTTTCAAATGTCAGAATATCTCTTAGAGCAGCTAATTGCATTAAATTCTAAAATAACTATGTTTTGCACTGTACATCCATATGCCTTGGAATTCGCATACTGACTGAAGCAAACACAAAATCTTATCATCGTGTATCCTATAAAATGGTTTATCTTCTCAGAAAAACCAAATAAGTAAATTGATTTCATTTATAAGCATATGCAAAAATATAAGTGGGCCTTTTAGCTTCTGTAGGTCATAGACAGAGGTTGATTCATCTCATTGGGTTAATTCTAAAGAACAAGAACCTACACATTTTCCCTTTAGTATTTTCAAAATCCTTCAATCAGACTTATGGGCAATAATCAAAATGTTCCCACGCCTTCTAAGGTAGTACATTTAGGAGTAGTTACCAGGGTACTCAAAGGGCTGTGGTGATTACTGAATGACTTCAACTGGGAGAGACAGCAAAAATGTTAAGTGACTAAATCAGAATCCAAAAATAACGGGCTAGAAGGATATGAATGTAATAAATATGACATTAACATGAGTAAATGAGAAGTCTTAGACTTGATCCAAAATGCCAACCTCTCAAATACAGAATAAGGATATCTAACACACTGTGAGCTCAGTGTAGGCTTAAAAGTTATGTGGTTACTGTTAAGCCAATATGATCTTAAAGTGCATTAATATTCTATTCACAAGGAAGAAAGCTCTACCCTTCTCTCTGTGCTGGTCAGGGTACACCTAGAATATTGCATTTGTTTTGAGCACCAGCATTAACCAGAGAAATTGACAACTGGAGGGTCAAGGGGTCACGGGGCCCTGTCTGATGACTGGCAACCCAGAAAACTGGGATTATTGAAATTGAAAAAGAGAAGACAGAGAAGGGGCCAAGTATCTCTTTCCAAATATCGGAAACATTGTCCTGTTGGGAAATGCACTGTACTGGGTGGCTCCAGAGGTGAGAGCTAAGAACAACAAATAGGAGAGGTAGAGGGGCATCATTTGAACATAACTTAAGGAAGAAATTTCTTTGCCTCATTAACAGTTAGGGGGCTGCCTTAGGAAGTAATGTGTTCAGTATTGGAGGTGTTTGGACAGAGGCCATTTGACCACATGCCTGGGATTTTTGTAGTGGGCATTTGGTCCCTCAGTGGAAGTAGGGTAGAACAGGTAATATTTAAGGTCCACTTCAGTCCCTGAAATTGGTTGAATCCATAAATGGTCATTGTCTTGGAAAAGTGTATAGTGTTAACTATCTTATTTCTTTGGGGAAAAGAAGAGATAACACCGTTAGAAATTTAATACATTTATTTTACGTCATTCGAGCATAGTAAATAAAATGAGAACTTTCCATTTTCAGAGTACCGTGTTTGTAATTAAATGTTTTTCTCTTACAATTGTCTGTTACCTTCAGACAGTATGAAATTCGAAATGACTTGGAGTATGTTTTCAAACCTAAAGTTGAAAATAAGCAATTTTAAACATAAGCAGACTTGTGTTAACCCTACTTTTTTTTTTTTAACCAGAGCCTAAAAAACCTGAAGGGTTTTTTGTTCATAAGGCAGAGAAAAACACAGCTGGCACTATGGCCAGCTTTCAGGGCATCAGACATTTGGTGGCACGATTGAAAATGCAATTCATTAGTTGATAAGGCAGTTTAGTGAATAATAACCAGCAAGTTTATTAAACATTACAGTTTAAAAGATGTTTTTGTATTATTTGGGTCAGAATTCTGTATTGAGTATCTGATGTTCTTATTAAAAGAACAAGATTTTGGAATTGAGTCCATAAGTCGTGGACGTCTTTGCTAGGAAATACGCTACTAGTCTATTAATTTGAATGCTTGATTCTGAAAGAATGTGTCTTTGTATTCTAAAATCTAAAACGCCATATGACAGGACAGCACCTGCCATCCCAAACCACAGTGTGTCTGCATTATTAAACACCATTTGTGATGCTGCTGGAAGAAATTCAAGGATCAGAAGCCCCAGAAGAGAAAGTCTACATTTTAGACATTTCCTTACTGCTTTTCTGCTTGGAACACCGTTTGTCTACAGCACAAGCAATGACACAAGGGAAACACAAACCTTCTGGAAAACACAAACCTTCCCCTCAAATGCAGTAGCGTTAATGTTTCTTTTCTCCAGACCTCGACATTGTAAATCTGCCTTGTCTTAGCCATGTATTCCAATATTATAAATAGCAGGTTTTCACAAACAAACATCCGTAAAAGTCAGAAGAGCACACTTAGAGGCTCATACATTTATAGTGCCTTTGACAGAGTTGGTTATGACAGCACAGTTAGTGTCCCAGCAAGAAAAACTCTGTTTCAGGGTCGCAATCTGAATCCTTTCTGGCCTGCCACAGGACAAATGCGTGCTTCTGGTCACAAAGGGAGTTTGAATGAGATATAAGGATGGAAACAGCTCAAGTCACCAGGCTGATGGATTGCGGGATTATTACAATACTGGAAAATAGAAGGCACATCATACAGACTAGGTGACCTTCAGGCATGTGGTATACTAGAGTAACCACAAAACTTCTAGAAAGTCCTATGAGGAAGCAGATGCATCAATGCCATGAATTTAACTTTTATTCCCATCGTGTCACCTGTCAGCTTTGATGAACTCGTCCCATGGAACGTGGTCATCTTAGCGCACCCAGGAGAATGTGCTATGGCAGTTGACTCAAATGACACTGCAGTGACTGAAGTAAAGTTTGCCCGATTATATTCATCCTTTGGGTGAAGACTAAAAGCTTTGAATTTCCTGATATTGTTGGGCGTAACGGCAAGATACTGTTGGGCACAATGACAGTACGTAAAACTTCTCTTCCTACTTACTTTGTGCACAGTTAAGGCTGGATGGAATGGGGAGGAGGTTGAAGGGAGACAGGTAAGCAGAGCAGAAGTAGGTCAACTTTGCTTCTCGCCACCTCTTCATTATTAATTCAACTACAGACGCTTTCTCCCTTCTCTCTGCTCCACAGACAGCCGGCACCATGAGCCCATGCCGCCCTTCACCGCCTCCAGGCTCCCATCAGGCCAACCAAGTGGATAAACCCAGGGAAACAGAAGGAGGATCTTTTAGGACAAGCTGTGTTCGCTATTTAGAAATAGCATTGAAATGTGCAAATTGCTTTCTCAAGGAATAGATAGAGGAATGGAAAGATTCATTGTTAAAATACTGCCTCGTGCGTGGCTGATCACAGTATTAAATATTTGGTATTGTTTCATCCTCTGAGCTTTGTAATATAGTTGTTACCCTGTTTGCTCTCATGGGTCTTGGGTCCAAATACACCCCAAATTTACAAAGGAATCACAGGCTTAGGCTTTCAGTTCTCTCTATGCCTCAGGAATAAAAGTAATAATAAGTCAATGTTTCTTGCTATGTAACATTTAACGTATCAATAACTTGCTTAGTGCTATGCCTTTATCTCAAAATGGAATTAAGAAACCCACTCTTCAACCTTTCTCCAAGGATGTGGCAAAGCTGAATATTTTTTAAAGGATATTCCATAAAAAACAAACTGAAGAAAAAATTTTTCTATGGTAAGAATAGAAAAAAAAAAAGAGATCAGAATGACCCCTTACCTGAAGCCTGTTTGCAGATGAGAGTGTGGAAGGGTGAGGTGAGATACCTCAAATCTGCCAAAGCTAAACAGTGCGCAAAAGTATGCTAATGTTGAGAAAAAGAAATACAAAGTCACGGAACATCCAAAGGACAGTGATGAGCCTGACTCAGTTAACGCCATCTGTTGTTGGGTAATAGGGTGGGGGGAGAGGTAGTCCCAAATGAATAGTCTAAGAGCCTCCCTTTCCGAGTGTTAAGACCAATTTCTCCCTGGTGGTGGGTATGGTTACCTCCCGAGATTCTGGGCTGGGCACGGCACCTGGAGACTCAGGTAGTGGGACCGAGGATGTTTATTCTCTGTTTCTGTTTCCCCCCCAGAGCTCTCAGCATGGCGGCTCCTCCACTTCACTTGCATCCACCAAAGTCTGCAGCTCAATGGACGAGAACGACGGACCTGGCGAAGGTGGTGAGCTTTGGACTTGGTGTCTGAGGAGAAGGCCCAGCTTGCACTTGGGCAGAGGATGGGCTGGCTAAATTTACACCCACCAGGAAACTGTCACCTCTCCAGCAGAATGAGCCTGAAGCAGCTTCAGAGGCTCATAGCAAGGGGGTAGGATTGAATGTGGCTCCCACCAGGGACGGTATCTACTCTCAGGGGCTGGGAAGAGGGAGTTAGCCTAATGTGGAGACGTTTCCCATCCTCTGAAGGTAGTAGCAACCTAACAAAGCCAGCTATTGCCCACTTGGCAAATAAAAGGGGGTAATTGTTGCCTTTGTTGTTCCAAATTCTGTTCACTTTTGGAACAAGAAACACATCTTTACTCTTTTTTTTTTTTTTTTTTTTTTTTTTTTTTTGGTT